CGCCGCTTCCTTTATGAGTACATTTGAAGCACGTTTTTCTGAGTCTGACCTCATTTTAAAGCAATTAAAACACGAGCGCGCCAACTGGGAACTCATCTCACGCGAACTGGACCTCACGTGATGTTCGCTGTCATGGTAACGTTTACTCTAGGCGCTACTCCACGCATGCGCGTCATTTTGCATCGGATTACTTGTAGTGAGCATGTAAACGAAGATTTTCCATCAAATTGTTGAAAAGAGTGTGCATATAAACACCTCAGTCTAAATCTGTAATCGGATTGTATTCAATCGGATTGGCAAAAATCTTTGCATGTAAACACAGCTGTCAGTGGAGAATGGCTATGTTTACATGCAACGATTTTTGCCAATCCGATTGAATACAATCCGATTACAGATTTAGACTGAGGTGTTTATATGCACTCTATTCAACAATCTGATGGAAAATCTTCGTTTACATGCTCACTACAAGTAATCCGATGCAAAATGACGCGCATGCGTGGAGTAGCGCTTAGAGTAAACGTTACCATGACAGCGAACATCACGTGAGGTCCAGACCAGTTTCTGCTCCGCCATGTTGAGCGGTGTAAACTTTCGCCGTGACGCGACGCACATGCGCAGAACATACTTACACATTCCGATTGGAATGTAATCGGATTCAGGCGTTTACATGGCTATTATTCTTCTATTTAACGGATTATTTAGAAGTTTACCCACCTCGTTTAATCGGATAGAAATTGTATTCCGAATGGCCTCAATCGGATTAGACTATTCCGATTGAGGTGTTTACATGGACGTATTCTATTCCGATTGAGCTATTAGTCGGATTATTAACGGATTATCAGGCTGCATGTAAACGTGGCTAATGATCCATTACACAAATAATGGAAACTGAAGAACAGGGTGTAAGGGGGCTAATCAATGTAATTATTATACAACTACAGAGTACATGATGTGGTAAGTGGGCATGATAAAAAAGGACAGTGGGCATAGAAACAAGGAGGTGTACTTAGTGAACTGGCCGGTTGGTGTATATCAAACAATGCAGGAGTCACAAAATATTAATCAGCTATAAATGTTCTTATTCAGGAAAAAGTTTGAAGGAAATATGATTAGACAATTTTTAGAAAATATACGGTCAACAAAGGACAATTATATGGATATTGTAGTGAAACCATTTAGAACTCTTGATGCAGCCTCCAAATATGGCATATTGAAGTTATTAATTCATAAATACTACAAATGTAGCAATACTCCATAAAATCTTCAGTTTAAAATTTCAAAGATGAAATGTACAACCTATCATAAAGGTGACATCCGGTAATAAATTTACTTGTTGTTGGAATATATTAACATGAAACAGTTGATTTAAATTGAAATGCTGTCCTTACTGTTGTAAGTACATAATATTTCAGCTCAGCTCAGTCAGTCTGTATGCAGTTCACCTCAATATCTAACATACAATTTAGAACCTAATGTAGCAAACTTCATAAAAAACCAGGCCCAGAGGTGAGTTGGGAAAATGATCCAGGTGCCTTGATTCAATGGAATTTCTGTTCTTTTACTAAGTACAAGAAAAAGCCTCTAAATCACTGTTCATGGTAGGCCAGTGAACGCTACAAATACTGCCCACAGAGACTAAGTGTTGAAGAAACGTTCTTCAGAGTGTTGATCAAAGGTTCTTGTGTAGCATAGGCAGAAAGAAAATGAAGAAGTGAATGATTTAAGATGCAGCCCCATTAATGCATCAGAAGTCAGCTTATATGGGTGACAGTGCCTTACCTTTTGTCAGCTGGTCTGTGAGGGACAGAGGATGCATTAGAACTTCTAAGCCAAATGTCAGAAATGGAACGAGATCAGGGACATGCAAATGAAGCAGCTAATTGCCTCCATTGGATTTTGAAATCAAAGCTCACCGTTCTGACTAGAAATGAAATATTGATGGTGGAGAAAACTGAACTTCCCTGACAGTGGCAATCAATGTTAAACAGAATGGCAACTAAGCAATGTTCTTTTTCCATTTTGCTAGGTCATCATTCCATTGCTGGCAGACTTGGAATAACTGTTGTGGCAAATTGTGATTTTATTTGACAGGCTTGATTGTATTCATTAGGTTCAACTGAATTTGAGGCTAATATTAGGGAGTGCATTACTTGCTGGTTAGTTCTGCATAGATAAAGGGTTTGAACTCACTGAAAATAGACTAAAATAAACAGTTCTTGAGTCAAGATATTGCTCATGATGCCAGTGATGATGTGCTTGAGTATTTATGAGATGGCTTTGCAAGGCAGACACTTTTCTGTCCTGGAGGTTTGGTGAGATCAGATGGGATCAGATGTTAATGGAGCTTCCAGCCTACAGGCTCAGGCCTTAACAAAACTGAGAAATCATCCACACCGCAATTCAGCCACATACTAAATAATATTATCAGGCTTGTCTCTTTGACTGCATGTTAGGAATCTGCTCCAACAATATATACAATAAGGTAACTTTTCTTGCCAGTACAGTATTTTTAATGTACTATTAAGTGTATTAAGGCTGTAATTATTGCTTATATTAGTAATCATGTAATCTACTGATTATTTTTAAAAATGAAATTGAGTAATCAGTTTTTTAAAAAGGCCAAACGATAAAAATGAGCTGAAAAAAAAAATTACGTATGCCTTTCTGAATTTGCGAATTACACATAATTGTAATTATATTTTACTGGGGAAAAGGTAAACAAGGAAGCCTTTAAAAAGAATAACAAATATATTTTTATTTAATTATTTATTACTGTTTATATAAAATATATAATGGCAAAAAGCATATAAATGGGTGTTCATTATGCCCAGTTTCTTACTGATAAAAAACTTATAGGAGAATTTAAAATATGCTTTATCATTATGCAAATTCCCTATCATTAACTAGGAGCTAGGAGGGTGAAGGCTAACACAGGCTTCCTCCGAGACCTGTGAAGCCACCGCCTCTTTTCGAACTGCCACTCACACAACGTCACTGGACAGCTGAACACGCTTGGAGGAAAGCGCCAACCGCCAGATCTGTCACGTCAGCTAACAGACGCCTGCGCTGACTAGCATCGCGTTGAGTGATGGGGGGAGAAGGAGGGGCCATCCTGCCCACCCAGGGAGAGTGAGGCTAATTGTGCTCTCTTGGACTCCGGCTCTGGACAGCTGTAGCATCACCAGGGATCGAACTCGCGATCTCCTGATGACAGGGCCAACGCTTAGACGGTTGCGCCACTCGGGAGCAAAATCAACAAAAAGTGTAATTTGACTAGGATGTTCAAACTTCTACATACAACTGTTGATGATTACTTCTATCATTTGTAGTATGTGAAGGTGTTAGGGATTGATCATATATGTATCAGGTGAAGAGGAAAAGGTGAATACAAAGCGTCTTCACTTTCACTCAGAGAATGGCTGTGCTGTATGTGCTGCTGTTTTCAGTGTTCATGTTAGTCATGCACTGTGCTGAATGTGTGCTGCCAAGGGGGAAATTACTCTCTGACCTGAATTGTCCTAAACCCTGCCTCCTTCTGCCGCTCAAACAAAGCAGCAGTGCAGTGCTAGGGAAATGCACTGCCTTGTGTTTGTATAAAATCCCTCAAAAAAGCTGACTCTTTCATCTGAACTTATCTCCGTCTCATCTCCTGTGTTCTTTACCATTACACTTTCCACATGTTCTTCCCAACACCTCTTCTCTAGTAGCTCTAGATTTCCCCTGCTAGTTCTTTCTTTTTTCTCCTTTTTTCTGCCTATGATTTGCTCCAAGGGGAGCTGACAGCAAGCTCTGATCCCTCCCTTTGTGAACAGACATTCAAGGAGAAAGCTAGCAGTTAGAATAAGAGAACAGAAACTCTTGTAGATATATGAAGATATCGGGCATTGTTCTTGCTTTGCTGCATGATGCAATTTCCAAACATCACTGTCATGTTTCAAATGTTCCACTACAGAATAAGGACTCCCTGGCGAAAAATGGAGCAGGCTGCCCACATAGCAACAAGACACAAGCAATAAACTGTTTGAGGGCTTGTATTTTTCCGGGTCTAAAGCATGATCTGGAAAGTTCTAATGTAGACATTTGCAGAGATGTAAACTGTTTCAGAGACAGGATGTGATTGGGGTGACCTCACAGGGTTTGCAGTGCATCTTTGTTTCTTTTCTTTTAGGGGTGCAGCAATATGGAATTCACACACACACACACACATTTTCTAAACCCTATGACCCTATATTAACTTCACATGGGAATGTTTTATTGAAATTCCACCTCATCAGTTCAGAATACTGTTCAATTAACTGCAGTAATCATCCAATGACAGCACAAGGTGCAAGTGGAAAAATTGTTCTATAGGAGTATGTCACATCCTAAAAAAGACTTCCATGTAGGATGCACTTATGTCTCCTCGCTCTAGAAGTCTTCTTTCTCCCCTCTCCTCCATTCTTCCACGTGCATTTAAAAATTGATATGTCCTAAAAGATGGCAGATTCGGATTTCTGGGTCTTGGGCTGGAGAACATACGAGCAAGGAAATGATGTGGCATCAAAGTAATGAGGGATACATGGTCTGCCATCTCAAACCAAAGTCGCTTTCAGAGTTCATCCAGCTTTCGCTAAATCAGCATCTACTTAAGCTAGTAAATTCAAGTAACATTTATGTTTTACTCCTTGGTCACATTGTATCTTACCTCATTTCTTGTTAGATGTGAAGAACCATATGCACCTGGCATGCAACTCACTCACTCACATTTAGCAGGTTGAAGATTTTCCACAAAGGGCACTGTCAGAACTCACTTAGATTTTTTACAAGAGCGGTTTTTGCTTCAATGATACTATGGGTCTTTGTTATTTTCTTTGAAGTAAGTGCTAATAATAGCCTTATGAGTTTTTGATTAAAAAGGCTCATATCCAGTTGTATGCACTGCTTTCACTGATTTTATATAAATTACACAGATATTGACACAGTTATTAACTAACTGGACACATGTTTTTATCTGCTTGCAGCACGGGAGGAGAATGTAGCAACATTTCGAGGCTCTGAATATTTCTGCTACGACCTGTCACAGAACCCTATTCAGAGCAGCAGTGATGAGATCACGCTATCCTTCAAAACCTGGCAGCGCAACGGACTCATCCTCCACACGGGAAAATCAGCCGACTATGTCAACCTAGCGCTAAAGGACGGAGCTGTTTCATTGGTCATTAACCTGGGCTCAGGAGCCTTTGAGGCAATTGTGGAGCCTGTCAACGGAAAGTTCAATGACAATGCCTGGCATGACATCAAAGTGACACGCAATCTGAGACAGGTAATCATGTGATGTGACATCGTCCAGTGTTTATGCTTAATTAGATGTGATAAGCTAAGGGTTAATGATGATGTAGGCTTTGGCTCTGTGGCTAGTTAGTGAATAAGTAAATTATTCTTTTAACATGGTTTTCTTCCTATATAAAATTCTTAAGGCTTGGTTTCCCAAAAGCACAGCTGGCTAACAGTCATCATGATATAAAAGCTAGCAGAGTGAATGCTGATCTCTCTGGTTGTTTTCAAAATGAGGATGCAAATTCTTGTAATTCTTATAATGGTGAAGGCAAGTTTACGAAAAATATATATTGAATTCATCAAACTGCAAGTCCAATGAGAATGGGAAGAATGAAAAAATGAATGAAAATTTTAGTTTTCAGCAAAATTTGATAATACCAAAATGTTACAAAATTGGACTGTTTCCAGTTGTAACTTTCACTCTGCATAGTTCTGTTTCATTCTAGAAAATGTGGAGCTGTTAAAATTACTAGAATCAATTTTTATAGTCAATTCAACAAACATTCATTTGACCTAGAAAGTGCAACAGTATGTTGGAGAACTATGTAGGAAGTACTAATCGTCCATGGGAATGTTTTAATTGCTTGTTTTGGAAAAAAAAAAAGTCAGTTCTTTTTGGCTACTATCCCTTGCTCGACTCACAATGCTGCAAAGCTTTTGGGAAACCCACAATCTAATTTTACACTGCTTGATTGATGGTTCCATAACAGACTGTCTGTGGGATGCTGTCTTTATCTCAAATGACATTCTTTCTTACATGTCCTCACACAGCCTAATTCTTTTTTCAAAGCCTTTCTTTCTAAGCTTAAGCTGACCTCCAGCCTGTCAGCAGTTGTGTGACTTCAGTGAATAGCTGATAGTTCTTTCAGCAGTACGTGTCAAGGGAAAAATACATTTCAAAGTTGTAGCCCAAGCATAGCTGGGAATGATGGCAACCTTTAGCTCAAGTTTGTCTGTTAGGCTCTTAAAAAAGTGCCACAAAGGTTCTTTGCACAATGCCATAGAAGAACCTCATTTGGTTCCCCCAAAAATGCTTCCAATGGATGGTTCTTTGGAGAACCAATTTTTTAAATTAGATGTCTAAGTATGAAGAACCTTTTTAAGTTTAGAGAACCACCACATAATGTATTGAACGCCCCTGGTCCAATTACATGTTTTGTTGATTTTCTAAGTGAAAATAAGTTAATGCATCCTTGATAGGAAACAGACTTTTCTTGCAAAAAAAGTAGTGCACAATTTCTATCTATTTGCTAAGTGTAACATACTGGAAAAAATAAAACATGAGATATAAAATGTCCTACAACTTTATTGCCATGTTTTTTGTCCCCCCCCCCCTCCATTATTTACATTTAGCAAATAAATAAATTGTGCATTCGAATGTGAAGAAGTGTGTAAAACATGTAATTTGACCAGGGACACACAAACATTTGCATACAGCTGTATTTGTATAGAACCTTTACATTATGTGTGTATTATGTATAGTATAGTTATACTATATAATAAAGCACATATCCACAATTATATGCAAGACACCATTTACAGACTCACAGAAAAGATGAATTTAGTGCCTCTCCACATGATGTACAATGTAGTGAGCTGAGTGCTAACATGCAGCTGCTGCTAGTAGCTAGTATGTGCTGTAAGATTCAGAGGAGATTCATTGAGAGAGGCATGGAATCGCGCTTGATTTTGTTTGGCTGACCTTAAACGTCACTGCCAAGTGAGGCAGATTTTTTACGGATTTGAAAGGTGATGCGAAGTTGACAAGTAAGTGCTTTTTTCTGTGTCACTACTTTGTTCAGGTTGGCAAAAGATTTAGCACTACCCCCATGAGATGTGAGCTGATGGACTGAAGGACCTCTTCTTTTATTCTCTCTTGTTCTCTCTCTTTCTCTATCTCTTTCTCTTTCTGTCCTTCTTTCTATGTCTTCCTCTTTCCTTGGGACAACAAAACGTGTTAGACTAACACTAACCATTCATGGGATCATTCTTATTACTAACCAGTTTCTAATCAAACTAATGTACTAACACCCTAATTCTTCATCATTGTTTATTTTTTTTATTTTTCTCTTTTAATTTCTTCCATTTATTAACAACGTTCTGTTCACTATTGTTTTGATTTCCTTTCTCCCCTTTTCCTCAAAGCACTCAGGCATTGGACACGCTATGGTAAACAAACTACATTGTCTGGTAGATATCATTTTATTGTCCTTTTTTGGGTTTGCCGTGTGTCCCTCTCCCTTTTTTCTTTCTTTCTTTGAGTTTCATTCTAGACACTCTTTTCAAAAAATGAGGAAATGGGTTTGTATTACCAGGACTTGTCACTTTTTGACTTTCCTCCTCTTATCCTTTATCTTATGTTATCTTATGATATTTTTTATCGGGCTGGCTCACACTTCTGTAGTCTTATTTAATGCAAACTTCTCACTTTGAAACTGCATCCACACCAGTAGTCTTGCAGGGGCTAGCTGAGTTTGCTTTTTCTCCCCCTCACCAAGCCTCCACATTTTTTGCGAGGATTGTCAGCAATAACTGACAGAGGCTTTCCAATAAAATCGATGATGGACTATTCCACATTGCAGGAGTTATTTGCCGAAAAGAAAACCTGAACACACCAACAGACGTCTCAAATTTGGGAGCTCTGGCAGTTTAAATTACACTGCGCATGGCATGCCCACACACACTCAACTCATCTCATTCACCTCTTCATGCAACATCAACTCATGATCAACCCTCCTAACACTTTGTCACTCCACTTTCCCCCCTCTTTTGTGTGTGTCCCCTGCATGCTGGTGACAATGCGTGTGTGTGTGTCATGTCCCCCCAGACACAGCCTTGCATTACTTCTGCATGGCTGTCCCCTGTACGGCTTTTGTGGCTTAGTTTATCCTTTGCCATTTCTTTGCCCATTTATCCACCTAATCTCATGTTTATTCATTTTGATTTAATTATGTATTGGAAAAAAAGATTATACATTTGATTTTCAAAGTGGATAACGCCTTCCCTCGCAATGCATGTCTGTGTGTGTGTGAGAGAGTCCCATCTATGTTTGTGTGTATGTGTGTGAGAGAGAGTTTGATAGTACATAGTACAACCCTGAAAACTAAAACAAGTACAAACAATTTGTCCTTGGTTTTAACATTTACTAACCCCGTAACCAGTAATTCTCCAAACCTGATAATAATTCATTTTCTTACCCCCATCAAAGATAAAGAAAATATGCCTTTGCAGTATTTTCTTTACCTGTCCTGTGAACCTATGCCAAAAAAAAAACAATACTAAAATGCTGCCTTATTCAAATCCGACAGTCCAAGGTACTGAGATCAGGGTACTGAGATCAAGTCAGAGGTAAGAGAGAGAAAAAAAAACAGAGATCGCTTAAATGTGTTGAATTCTCGACTCAGAGAGTGGCTGATTATTTGGTTTTCCATATTTTTATTGTGAAACAGGTGACCATCTCGGTAGATGGTATCCTGACCACCACTGGCTACACTCAGGAGGACTATACCATGCTGGGCTCGGATGACTTCTTCTATGTGGGGGGCAGTCCCAGCACGGCTGACCTGCCTGGATCTCCAGTCAGCAATAACTTCATGGGCTGCTTGAAAGAGGTGAGTCTGCTGGGTTTGAAAGCTTGAGTGTTTTTCTTCCAAAGTAATTTAATTTCATACAAGGCTATTACAGGCCCACCTTGACGAATAAAACCATGTTTGCTTAAAATGCAAAAAAGGTTCTTTAGAGGGATGCCGTAGAAGAACCACCTTTGGTTATCTAACACAGAGGTTCCCAACCACAGTACTGTGGAGTTACTGGGCTGTAGCTTGCTTTAATGGCTGGTAATGGCAGTAAGCAGGGAAGAGTTAGGAACATAACTGCTGAAATCCACTATAAACCTAATATAAAATATGATGACAGCTACATTAAACACAGATTTATCACTGCTGGGAATGCACCAAAACCTCTGTTTGTGGTATAGGCTAATAAGTGCCATGGTAACCCCCACCCAAGCTTCACTACCAGACAGCCGAAAACCATTTTTGCCTGCGGTTTGTCTGTGTTTAAAAAGTTGGGGAACCCCTGACATGAAGAACCTTTTCATGGATGACTCTTTAACGGAATAGGTTTCAGCCTAATCTCTATCTGCCACATTCGTAGCACATAGTCATTTAGCATAATTAACAATTTAGATTAGTGTGTCTGTGTACTGTAAAAGAGCAGAAAGTGTTTTGACTTCAGACACACTGTTCTTTCCTAAATACAAGCACTAAAACCGCTGTCTATAGTAATCGATTGTATGCTATAGATCTGGTAGAGAGATTTGGTTGAAAAATGCTGGAAGATTCCTTTAAAGCATTTATCAAAATGTTCTATAGGTAACCAAAGGTGCCTCTTTTGTGACACTCTAAAGTACCCTTTTGCCACGCTTAAAAGTTTGTTCATATCCGAGTGTTGCATTTGGCCACAGCTGCATAGCAACTGGTCTCATTCAGGCCTTATAATGCCGTGAATAGGTCTCCATGAGCAGGAATGGATTCATTCTCACTCAGTGAATGATGATTAGATTTCTTAATGTCTAGAGGTGATCTGTTTGTCTTCTGCTGAAATGTCAGTGTAACCTTTCTGGGATATTTTCATGTAAACATTCATCGAGATCGATGGTTATGAATTTTCAGGGTACACTAATGGATATGAAGGAACATGCAAGAAGTTCATACGGTGTTTCTTCCTATATACATTCATGTATTCTTACAAAGATGTTATATTTAGTGCTAGGTTCAGGCTTTACCCTCTGTGAATATGCTTTTTCCATCATGTCAGTTTGTGTAGTGTTTCTGTTATGCAGATTTGTTTGTAGACTGAAAAACAGTAAATGGTGTTGTCACAGCCTTTGCAACAAAATACATTTTCTGCCTAATAACAACTGCCAGGACTTAGTTCAAGAAACAAGACTGAAAACTGGAAATGAACAATACATGGATGAAAAGCAGAACTGAGAAAATAAATGATTTATTAAGTTCTACAGCATAACAATTATTTGAAAAGAACTGGATAAGAAACATCACTACATTGTTTCTCATTCTTGTGCAAGATCAAAGAAAAAAACAATCTAGCGGTGTTACCTCCAATTTTAGTTGTAGCTGTAGAGACTGATGTCATGTACTTCAAGAATTAAAACAGGGCTTCGTTTTTGTAAAAGGTCTTTTTCAAGACATTTTCAAACAGAGCATACCTTGTATGTTTGAATATTGAATATTTATAATATATTGCAAATCCCTATGTAGACAACAGGCATATTGCAGTTTCACAACCTTGAATTATTTTATGATAAAAAGATTCCAGTGTCAAGATAAAATACTTTAACATAGAACAAAGGGCCTTTTTTTATATTTAGGCTTTCTGGCATGGCATTCTGTTCATTTTCTTGTTCAAGATATTTGAAGCACTACTAAACGATCTTTTGCTGTCCATACTCATACAAGGTGCAAAGAACTAGGCTTGAGCAACTTCAGCAAGAGGAAAGTCCTTATTGTGCAGTTGAGTATCCTGAAGACTGAGGCAGTTGTATTCTTCTGAATATGAGCATGCTAATTAAGGTTCAATTTCCCATCTAGGCAGAAACACCACTGCTATACACAAGACTCCAAACACTACATTAGCCAACAGCTTTGCATATAACTGGTACAAAAGAAAATTAAGGTGTACCATTTTTCTTTATGTTCAGTTAGTGGAAAACAGACATGAATTCATTCTAAATAGATGTTAAAATTAGAACTGCATTTTAGTTCTTAATACAGTAAGTGTTTAGAATCTACTTTCAATTAATTTGTTTATATCCAAGTTTGTATAGCTCATTGCATTTAATAAAGGCAATTTACTCCAAATGATTTTCTTGTTAAGAATTACTCTTTTAAGCCATTTTAGGTTGAAGACATAAATATGGAGGTATAATATATAGATAGATATGGATATGGATATAAAAAATAGTTTATTTAGGAACAATTTGAAATGTTTTTTAGTTTGCTCTAACTGGAACTACAATGCAAGAGTACCACTAAAAGACCATGTACATGGATGTGGCATCATTATTTCTGTAACTGGTCATTATTTGGAAATCTTTATTTGACAACCAGCCAACATAGATCTATATCATTTGCTAATAGCCTGCTTTCTGTAGATGAAGGGTACCTTAGAAAGATATCTTTTAAAGGTCTCACACCATATAGATATCACACACATGCAGAGCCTGCATTCCCAGATGCATGTAATAACCTTCATAATGGTAAGTCACCTTGTCTCAGCTTCTTTATCTTCTGATAGAGTGCTTTGTATTTGTTAACTATCTAGAGAAAATTTAGTCTGACAGAATATGTAATGAGGTACAACCCTCACTGAAATGCATGTATATGAGGGAAAGAACATGCTTGAACATGAGGGATTTTTTTTTTTTTACTTTATTTGAGTTGCCTACCTCTGAATAGTCAAATGGTAACCCAACCTCACATTTTTAGTACTGCATCTCTAAGTTGGCCTGACTATTATTTCACAATGCATAACTACATAAAAAAAAGCCATATTCTTTTTAACAAGCCCCTTGGTAATCCGACAGCACTAAGTACAGGTAGAATTGGGGTACAATGCAACTTGGAGACTTCTTGTAATCTGAGGTGGTCAGAGGCGCGTGTGATCAGATAGGTTGTGGTCAACTTAATGTGGACGTGCTGCTGGTTAGAAATTATGTCAGACTTTCACCAGCACTGCAGAACATCACCATGTCACATGACATTATAATCTCACGGGAGCAAGGTGGCTGTTTTTGAAGTCAGATGCTGCAGGAGCTACAACATGGCTTTTGACATCAGAACATCTCCCTCGTTGGCCTGAATCTCTGATGACAAACATGACGTGTCACCTATGTTATGTTTTTATTCTAAAAACTTCAGATCTGTGTTCTCCTACTGTTATCTCTCCCAAAGTGGATGCCATTTGTTTGATTTACTCCTTCTGGCAGCTCTTTTTTTACATATGGCCATCAGCAAAAAAATGGGTAAAACAGTTCAGGAGTTTGTTTTTTTAAAAGAAGTATTGCCCTTGTAGATCATAATTTTTTAGATTTCTTGTCATCTTCCTGGCAATATGGTTACCTTTGTAATTTTATAATTATAATTAAACGCCGCATGATCAGCCATGTCCCGACCTAGTTTTAGATTAAATGCCTTTTAAATCAGACAGGTTAACTGTAGTTTGAGAATTCTAGTAATTCTAGTTATAGTTAGCCAACAATGTTAAAAATAATCCTGAAAGCGAAGTCTGAACACACCAGCACCCAAAGTGAACTACAAGACGAGAGCATAGTAGCCAGCAAAGAGAAATGGAAGCTAACTTCTGAACCCAACCACGTGAGGAACACTGAAATACTGGCTGCAATCCATTCTCTGAGGTCTGACTTCTCCTTGAAGTTTGCAAATGTGATGACGGCCATTACTAAAATTAAAGAGAATACCGCAGTAGGGTAGGCTTACAGCAGAGGAACACATTAGTGAAGTGGAAGACACACTTACTGAGCTACAAAACAGAGCTGCTACTGTAGAGAAAGCCATCTCTACACTTACAGCAAAAGTTGATGTCATGTTGCTGGTGTTAATGAGAATGTACATAGTGAATTGATCTCTTGCACATGATATGCAGTTGCACTTGTTTTGAAACACCAGCATGGTTTTATCTCTTTATCGTTGAGAGGAGGAAGCTTTCATTATAATTTAATTGAAGCCAAAGTAAGGGGTGCAACATACTGCAAGAGTTTAGAACACGGTAAGGACCAGTTTAGTTGGGGAAATTCAGTGGATTTGTTTATTGTTTGGAAGTGAATGGTGGCACAAAATGTTTGTTTTTGCAACAAGTCTGAAGTTTTCATTACAACATATACTCCTTTTCTTAGGGTTAATTTTTAATTTTGATATCTGACAAAAAATTCAAAGGTGCAGGTAATAAACAGGTTAATAAGTCTCCAGTCAAACAATTTTTTACAAGAAACCCATTTACTTGCCAAAGACAACTTTACAATTTGGAGACGATAGCAAGGGTGGATTTTCTCAGCTTTTTTTTCTACACATGCAAGGAGTGTAATGGTCCTCAATCATAAGTCTGTTTCTTTTTATGTATAGAAGGTGTTTGAAGATAAGACTGGAGGATATTTATTTGTCCAAGGTAACCTTTTAACAGAAAAATGAATGTATTTGGGCCCAATGTAGATGACCCCAACTGCTTCAACAGTTTAATTTTGATGTTGTCTACAAGATCTGGTGTTTATATCATTGCAAGAGACGTCAACTGTACCCTATGCTCGTGGAAGGACCAGTCATCAGGCCCAGGTCTATCTCATTCTACAAGTAGGAAGGCCATTTACCACTTGATGGAAGATCTTAATTTAATAAAAATCTGTCAAAACCTAAAACCTGATTCATGTTATTCAAAGCCTTATAATTCATATTCCTGCACTGATTATTTTATGATACTGACCAGCCTTCTTTCTAAAATGGAAGATAGTAGATAGATGGTGCCATTGTAATCTCAGATGATGCACCTATCTCTCCATAATTATGTAGATAAAAGA